TGCAGACTTAATTTAACGTAACTTATCATTGAGATCTGTCCAACAAGCCCATAAAGTCAAAGCCAGTTATGACAGAAAGTCCCACAAAAATTCAGTAAGTTTACTGTTCAGCCAAGGCGAATTTATTCAAGGTGGTGTTGATGGCGAATTAAATTTTCGCCGCGGTACTACTGAATGTCAAAATGATGTGTTTGTTGTAANACGTACCTCGGCGAAAATCTAAATTCGCCATCAACACCACCTTGTATAAATTCGCCTTGAGTTGAACTTTAGTATAACTACTCAAATAAATTCTTAAATTATATCGACATTTTAAAAAGTACACCCTGCGATAAAATTCTACGGTTACCCAGTTTGAGATATATATCTATTCAATTTTTCCAAATTATAATTTTTTTTATGAAAGTGTTTATAGCTCATTGAAGTAAAAAGTCAGCAACGGTGCTGCGCATTTTCTTCCATATAAAATAAAATGCCAACAATCCTTATATGGAAGAAAGTGCACAACACCGACAACAAAAAAAGCCAAAAACCAATGGTATTTTTTAGACATTTAAAACTTGCACCTTTTAATGAATGAATGGCATTCAAAAATGTTTACCCAAAAAATTTCTACAAATTCTGAATAAAAACTGCGAAATTTTGATGAAATTTTTTTGATTATTTTCAATTTTTAAACAGTGCTTTATTTCGTTTCATTAGAAAATGACCTATACTTTTACAACAAAAAAATAACAATTGAAAAAAATATAAAAAATAGCCCAACCCGAGTAACATTATAATTTTGTCGCTGCAAATATGAAGACAATAACTAAAAGTATTTTTGGTGTCGAAATTGTACTTAAAATCAGTAAATAGTTCTTTTTTACTTTCGAAACTTTTTTTTTGTAATGAAAAAAGTACAATTGTACTTAAAATATCAACACTGATATGGGTACCTTTGTGTCGAGTATATATGTAGATATGTATGTACCGCCATGTGGCGCTGTATGCAACAATGGCGCAAGAAAATTCTAAAGAAATATCTCAGAAAATTTACGAAAAACAGAATGTCGTGAAGTAAAGTCAGGAATGTCGCCGAAGTCATTGTTGCCACAGCTGGCTTAGCTCGACAATGTCGGCAAAAGACAAACTGCCAGTGTTAGAGTTACACAAGAGAGGTGACTGGCTGGCGGTAGGACGGGTTAGCGGTCTGTAGACCTTCCAGGCAAAAGGATATTCTTCTGCTGTACTGATTACTGTCAGTTTGACGCAATAAAAGCACTCCTTGCAAAGTGAAAAATGCATCGGTGGTGGCAAATAATAACAGCAAGCATGCAAGGCAGCAATGCGGTGGGCCGCTGCGGTTAACTGCAGCTCCAAAACTAATGCGAAAGCGAAAAGCTTAAGTGCTCGGGAAAGGGGAAAACAATTGGAAGATTGTGGGAGTATTGTTATACCATTGCTGAAGTTATGCGGACAAAGTTTAACGCCATTTTCAATTACGGTAAATGATGTTATGATCAGAGTCCGCAAGAATGTATTGTGTTGTACTGAACTTGCAAATAAACAATAAATCTTCCATCGAACAAATTCTGTTTATTGCGAAATAAGCGTCGATGAAACATGTAAATCGAAATTAAAATGAAATCGGTTACCCGGCAAAACACAGAAATGAGCCGCTGTATTTAAAGGCAAACCTACTCTTAAAGGAAGAACTTATTAATATGTATGAACACAAACCGGTTGAGAACAAATGATGCGTACTTTTCGTTTTTTATCGACAATTTTTTATTTAAAATTTTTCTCAAACATTTCCCAAAGCAGATATAATTATAACAAAATGCGCCACCTTACCACGACTGAAATTGCGAGGTTAAAGCGAATGGCGAATTTATGACTACATAAGACTCTCCCAGTGGCGTACTAACGGCGGCACTGAAGGCGGGCGCAGGTTCCACTGCCACTAGGCGTTCCGAGGAGATAACCACCTTCGCGGGCGCTACTGCAGTCGACGCAACTGCTGCAATGGGTGCTGCCACAACCACAGCAGCAGCGAGCGCTGGCGCAGGCCTAGCTACGAATTGCTGTGTGCTCACCACTCGTTTAATGGTAGCCTTTTGGCGTTGAGGAGCATTCACAACCTGCTTAACAACGGCGTTTTGTTGTCTATTTCTTTGCTGTAGGCGTTGTGGGTGTTGAGTGCGTTGCACAAGATGTACTTGAGCGCGTTGTTGCTGGGGACGCTGTTGGACGCGTGACGAGGGACGGCTTTGAGTGAGGCGTTCAAATTCCTCAGCATCTGGATTGGTCGCAAACTGTGGCGGCGATTCTACGGCTGGCAAGGGATCAGTGGCGGGCAATGGTGGTCCGTAAGTGGCGTCTGGTGGGCCGTAAACTAAGTCTGGTTCGCTAGTTTCCTCCTCAACTTGAAAGGGATTTTCCGGTTTCAGTTCATCAGCCGAAGGGTAAGCCGCGAATTCGGGCTGGGGTGCTGCGGGTACGGACTGTTGACGTGCGAGAAATGGACGACGCTGCTGGAAACGGTTAGGGCGTGAAAGGAAGCGCGGTGGCTCAGCGATGGCGAGAGCTATGGCCAATACCAGTAATAGGAAAGCGCTCTTGTGGAACATCTTCTTTTTTTTTTGTTCGGTGTAGCTCTTATAACGAGTTGGAAAATATTCGTTGAAATGATTGCTGCTGCTGCTGCTGCCTAATGCCGTCTGATTTTATCTATCATCTGCACTAACATTTTATACTATCAAAAATTATTGTCGTCTCGTCTTCAGTATGTTGTTTGTTCACCTTTTTCAATTAAATTTATATTCGCACGATTTTTCGCTTAAAGTTTCATTACTATTAGTTCCTAATTTGCGCTGCTGACCCTCTCCTAGTATATTTTTAAATTTAGTTGGTCACCTGTCTACTTGGTTCACTTGTTGATTAAACGCAAGGCGCATATAAATGAATTCGGGCATTCCCTTTGGGTTTTGTACGCACTTCTATATTTAAAGTCTGTAACACGTAGTTTCATTCATTTATTTACTGGTTAAATGGCCCAAAATTTTTTTAAGGTTTTGGGCGCCATGTAAGGCGGTTGTAGGGTCAATTTTACCAAATTTAGAAAACAATACGTCCATTTAATGAAAATACATATGTATGAAGTTCTCATTCTCGTTGTTGGTGTTTCCGACAGGGTAGGAGTATGTTCCAATTTGGAACGATTTTCCGTCATCTCTTGTCAGTTTTGGTTTTTAAAACCCTTTGATTTGCATCTATTCAAAACATGAAATTAGGCTCTAAAGAGACGCCGTATTGAAAGTTAAGCCCTGTTAAACTATTCTAATTTTCCCTTCACGGTCTGTATTCGTTTGTGCTTTAACCCTCTCAGTACCATAAGCCTACACATTATTTAATAAAACCTCATTATTTGTAAGTTGTAATTCATCGAGGGATAAAAATGTTATTCTAATATCAAGCAAAAAAGTTGTATGTAAAAAGTTAATTTTCTGCTGTGAAATTTCATTAATCTCAACTAAAGTGATTTCTAAAAAAAAAAAATCCAAAAAAAAATATTTAAACTCATACTTTTTTCGTAAAAATAGTAGCGTGTTTTTCAAAATTTACTTTGCTCAAAAATAGTGGTTTGCCCGAAGAAATAAATTTTTTCAGAATAAAAATTTTCTTTTTTATGTAATATAATTTCTATAAACCTTATTTCCCGGTGGCCGCTGTGGTGTAGTGGTAAGCAGTGCGCGCTTCCACTCCGCAGCGCTTGGGTTCAAGCCCTGGTCAAAGCAACATCGCAAAAAAGAAAATGTAGAAAGGCTTTTTCTTAACAGCGGTCGCCCCTCGGCAGGCAATGGCAAACCTCCGAGTCTATTTCTGCCATGAAAAACAACTTCTCAATAAAATACAATCACCGTTCGGAGTCGGCGTAAAACTGTAGGTCCCTCCGCTTTGTGTGACAACTTCTTTACTTCATTAAAAATCCATTTTTTCTCATAATTTTTTTCGTAAAAAAATCTTTTGACAATATTTATGATTTCCGCTTACATAATATTTTTTACCAAACAAAAAAAATATTCTTAATATTAAATTTTACCATTATTTTTTACGAAAAAAATCTTTAAAAACATATGTTTTCCCTTCAAATTATGTTTTCCGAAAAAATACTTTCTATTTATTCTAAAATTTGTATCCTTAATATTACTTTTTTTTTTAGTTTTATTCCTAAATTATGTGGTCTTGGAGATTTTTTTTTCTTGAAAGATAACTTCGTAAAAACTAGTTTTTTTTCTAAAAAAAAAAAACTGCAATCAAAATAAATGTCATACTTTCTGAAAAATAATATTTTTTTTTAATATCACAATTTAAAAACGGCAAATAAAAATAAAACTCCTAAAAACATGCAGAATTTCCATTTGAGAGGAGCAACTTTTAAGGAAATATGCATGGACCTGAAAGGGTTAAGCAAAAAATCACTGCTTGCTGCAATAACATAGCGCAAATAAACACATAAAGGTTTCTGTTTACATACTACGCATCCGCATTTGGGCACTCGCGATTAGGCATTGGCCCTTGACATAGCAGTCAAACGAGCGGAACAACCTCATCATTATTGACACGTACGCATAATAAAAAGCCTAACAGCGTCTGATGCGTCGACGCGCTGCCACTGCAGGCATTCACCACAACCTAGTACGCCACCTCCAATGAAACTATCCTCGTTGCATCAAATTTGGCAGTAGGCCTAGCAATTGTGCGTGTAATTGAGTGGAACTGACTGCGCTTAGAACTATTTTTTTTATTAATAAAACTCACGGAATCAAATTTATTGCGCCAAAGTATAAAAGCTGAAAAGCGTTGACACTTCCATTGCATTCTTACGATCAAATCCAAGTGGCAAGGTGTAGCCAGGCAGCAGCGGTAGCAGAAACTCAATCATTAAACTTCTTCGCAACAAAATGTTCAGGTACACCACCCTCTTGGCCTTAATATTTGCCACCACTTTGGCAACAACTCACGCTGAGCCACCACGTTTCCGTGCAGCGCTTCGACGGCCACCCAATCGCTTTCTGGCACGCCAAGAGGCTGAGGTGACCGATAGTGCTGCACCAGAGGTCGCGCCACCTGCAGCGGAGGCAGATCAGCCAGCGCCCTATCCGCCAGCTGGCGTCACGCCAGCTATTCCCTTTGATTTGCCAACGGAGGCAGAGGCACCTGCGCCGGATGAAGTTTATGGCCCGCCAGAGGAGGAGCCAACACCCGATCCCACCTATGGGCCACCAGAGGAAACTACCACTTTGGCTGCGCCTGCCGTCGCCCCCGCTGATGGTGATTTAGTATCGCAAAACTTGGTGCAGCCGCGTCAAAGAGTTGCATTGGCCAAGCAACGCGGTCTGGTGCGCTCGCAGCCGCTCTTGTTGCAAGCTGTGCCCGCTGCAGGTGCGGCCGGTGTTGTGGAGCTGGTGCGCGCGGAACCGGGAGTTATTTACATTTTGAAATAAGCGTTGGAGGAGGAAGTGGGAGAGGAGCAGTAAAGTTAAGACGATTCACGGGAGGCGTAGTACGATATCATTCTTTTTGCAATTGTTTTCTACTTTTTGAAGTGTGTTAAGTTTATTAATTTTATAAAAAAAAACGATAAAAATATAATAAAAATTTATTTCTTTACAAATGTGAAGCTTTTCTAGTGTACCCGCATTTTATCAGAAATTTTAGTTATAAACTCTTTTTGCTTCTCAAGAATTTTCTTTCATTTCTAATTAGCAATCGCTACGCCAATTCGCCAATAATGCAGCCGTTTGCTAACTGCATGGAACTTTCCACAAATCTTTCTTCGAGCTCCCATCTCAGGAATATTAACAAGCAGCCAGCCAAGCTTTGCAGCCAACAACTAAACTTTCAGATACGCGGTAATCGCGTTAGCTAATCTATTTAATTGGTAAAAGTACATATTAACGTTAATGAAGCTACAAATGATGGCAAGACAATTATGCTGGAAATTTTGTTGAAGTAATTAATTTCATTGTACTTAAAACATTATTCCTCTTCCTTCCTTTTACCTTTTTCGCAAGCAAATCCGTTATTTTTGTTTTTTTTTTGCGCAGTGATAAACACTGAATTGTTATTTTCGAGACGTATTCCAGAATTTTCGAGAGTTTATGCGAAATTCTTTTTTGGGAGCTTTTCGGTGTTTTGCAGAAGTTTGGAGCTTTTCGGGATGCGGAATATTGTATTTACATTTACATGCGTAGACACGCGAGTATCATTCGACTGGGAACCATTTTCTCCTAGGTTTCTAAATCCCATTGAACTATTGTAACTTTGTTTTTAATTTTTAGTTAAAGGTAAAATTTATGCGAAAATTTTTAAGAATCTATTTAAATTTTTCACAAAGAATGGAGCTTTGATTTTACGAGCTTCACTATAGCCAGTCCTATCTACGTACCTATTTGCATAAAATGATAGCCATTTTCGTTGTTCGGACTAAACCCAAAAACCACTGAATAGAGTTCCGTCAGATTGTCGGATGATATTTTACATACATAAATGGTCCTATTGTGCTTTTTTTGGTACAATCTTAAACCAACAAGTACATTGACACCACATAGCCCTTTTTGCGAACTTAAAAAAATTTAAATATATGCGAGTTTTGGGAACAAATTAAACTAATCAAAAACGAACTGAACGAGCCGCTGTTTGCAAACATTTTAAAAATGGCTCAAGGTATATTGTCTATTCTACATTCCTCCGCAAATGTTGGAAGCGTATTTTCTCTTCAGAATCTGATAAAAACTAAACGTAGAAATAGATTACAGGTAAAAACCATAGGTTCTTTAATAAACGCTAAATACTGGAGGTTATCTTATGGCCGCCTGGATATCTGAAAATATAACTATAAACGTGCCTTTAAACTCCTCTCAAGGGTCAGAGTGTTATAGATTGATATTGCTAGTACCTCGGCCTGAAATATCGTGAACCAAGTACCAAGTGTAATAGAAAGTTTGGATCCGGATGGAAAGACACCCGCTCCTACTCTGCCCGCCATCTTTAATCCATCTGTTTACCAGTGTAAATACCTGGGGCATAGTTCTGGTAAACCATTTGACCAGACATCTCGGTCTGGAATTTTGAACTGAAATTCTCTCCCAAAGCAGATTTCCTTGGGCATAGCGTCGGAGAACTCACAGATTTCGAGACCTGGTATTGTGATCAAAATACTTTAGTGCTGCGTCGTGTTTTTAAAAGTACTGTCAGAATTTTGCATATACAAATTCCTCGAGTCTGCTGATGCCTGGACAAAAATGTGGAGCGGGGTGGAACCTAGGAACGACTCTACGGCCGCGGATGGACACGTTCTCATTACTCCCGCCACCGACAGTAGAGCCCTGCTTTGAAGTTTGTCCAGACGTGAAACGGCAGTTTTTTGCAGCTTCAAGTCGAATGTCCGAGTCTGCATTTGATTTCAACTGCTTTAAAATGCATTTAGCTCAAGGCAATGCAAAGTCAGTATGTTTCTTTTACAGATGACTTTTCATGCTGAAATAGTTAATTCACACACGGTTAAGAATTTCGGTTTTAATTTTAAACTTTTTACACAAATACAAACCTTCTAAGTAAAAAAAAAGAGAGCACATATGTTGGGCTTAGAATTTAAACAGTTCGGTTTAAATTTTAAACCCAAACATTTCCATAATTAAGAATAAAAAAAAATCTTAAATTTTATGCTCCGTCTGATGAAGATTGCACCCGGTCAGCCTTGGTAGCAACCAATTCGACTAAAATTTAAACCAGAATATATTGAAAATTGCCTAAAACTATTGGCTGGCTTAAAAAATAGACTATAATTAAATTAGACCCAAATTTTTGACCGTAGCAGTTAAAAGATTAAACAACTAATATTGAACTATGCATTTGCAAAGACATGTATCAAAAGTGTATCTCAATGAGGCTGCTAGGTAATTATACATCATTTTCAAGTTAGTTGCTGAAATAGAAATAGAAATAAACTATTTTTTCTGAGGTAATTGTGTGAGCTACGCCATACTGGGCAGTTTTCGCACCTTTTCTACTTCCTGCTGAATAACAAGTTTCCAACAGTTGCTATTAATTTTTAACTACTTAATGAACTGTAAATTTAACGATTAAATACTTCGAACAAACTTCGTCAAAATTTACCAAAGGTATATTTTGTGTGGTACTACGACATGAAACAATAAAGACAGGTATACACTAGACACACAAACATATCTACCTACATACATATTTCCCTTGAACTTGAAAAATGTCTAACCTTGCTACTACTTTTCAGGCAAAAGTTTTCAGTCAACTATATTTAACATTTCTATACTTACTTATATACTATATGTATAATACCTACATACACACTTATTGTATCCAAGCACTATTTGACTATTTGTTAGTTGCTCTTCAAATATTCATTGCACGTACAACGGTAGCATCTATGTATGTACATACCAATGTACTTGCATTATATGACAATAGCAATAAAAGAGCTTCATATGCAAGCGGTTTAATGCATATTGAAAGGTTTAAAGTTTAATAAAATAAGAAAACTTTATTAGTTTAATGGAAAACTGTTCTTGCTAAGTTTTTAAGAAAAAAAAACAATATTCGAAATTAGAAGCCAAATTGGGAAAGTGGAACAATATGGCACAGCTTTGAATAACTTTTAAAAGATTTACTAACGTAAACGTATGTGTATATTAGGGTGGTCCAAAAACAGTAAAGTCGGAATTTTAATGCTCTCTATATCGAAAAAAGAATACCCTTGTTTTTTTATGTTGAAATCAAAATATATTTAAAATTTTGGAAAATCAATATTTTTCAATCTGAAATCTCTGGTTCTCTTCAAGAGTTTGCAACCATTTTTTAATACTAACAATTTTTTATTGGTGCTTCCATTGCATTTTTTGGGGATATTGTGAGTTTTTGGCGGACCTATATATTATAGTTGCGATGGAAAAATGGTGAAATAAACAATTGAGTATTATTACTGGACTTTTTTTTTTGGAGAGAAACAGAGTTTTCCGATAGAAAAATATTGATTTTTAAGAATTGTATACCATTTATACGAAAAGTTGGTTTTTCTCCATATAAAATACATGGAAAACTTTGAGCGCTTTGAGCGAGCTCTATATATTTTTTGATTTCAAAATAAAAAAGTAGGGATTAATTTTTTTCAGTATAGAACAATCGTAGAGGGTGGGAGCATACAAAATCCGACTTTACTTTTTCATATGCATTTTGTTGCACGGTGTAAAACTGCTGACGAAAGTAACGCTGTGGCACAGGCGAATATGTGCGAATTGCTTCTAAGTATTTAATGTTTTTATTTTAGAAAAAAAAACGACGTCACAATTCAAATTTTGACAAATTTTAATAAATTCGGTCAGGGCTGCTACCATTACTTTTGTACTAATCTAAAATGTATCATATATTTGTTTGTGATATCCGATGATAAAGCTAATCATAAAGATATGTTGCTCGAGCGATGGAAAAACTACGCTATGCTGTCACGGATACAAAGAAACCATTACTTCAATTGTCAGGGTAAAAACAGTATCTCATAGGGTTTGACAGGTAACAGCCTCACTGAAAGTGCATTACTATTTAAAAATAAGGTACTCTCCAATGACTCAGACAGACAATGGAGATGACGAGTCAGATCATGGATTATTCCGTCTGTGTCCGTCTATGTGTTTGTAAAATCCGATTTTTTTTAGAAATAAAGTTAGTTTAGTTGTCTAATAATGTGTATTTGTGTATTCACGTTCAACTTGTCACACCCGTCGTTGCTCCCTACCGTGGAAGACTAGCACGTTCGCGTCGAAGAAGAGTAGAACATTTTAGATTTTCATTATTTGCGTGGAAGAGTAGCACACACTGTTGCCAACTTAGTGCTTTTCTTAATTCGAAACGCGAAAGTTTTCGATTTCGATATCGATAATAATATTATATTTAACAATATTTATAAATTTATCGATATCAAGGTCGATGAATATAAAGAAAGTTCTGAAATAGTCCCAAAATCCGGAAGTAGTCCAGAAAGTCCCGAAGTGGTTTCGAACATAACGATATAGTCTCAAGAATACCAAAATCTCGAAAATCCCGCCATTTTTCGTAGAACTGAAAGTTGGAAAATATTGAGAATCGTATTTGCGTTGCATAAAAAAGCATTATTTAGTGAAAATCAAATCACAAATAAATCGTAGGTATTCTTTATTTGGTGGACGAATTAAATCACAAATAAAAATTATTTTATATTTGGTTAATGAATCAAATCACAATTAAATTTTATTTTTCATTTGGTCGACAAATCGAATCACAAGAACAATTTATTTAGCATTGGCTGGAACTTTCAATTCAGAAATAAATTTAATCACAAATTTTACTACATAATTCAAAATTACGCAACCTCGACTACACACGCGAATAATGAAATGTGCTAGTCTTCGACGCGAATGGTGAAATATGCTACTCTTCGTAGGGACCAATGATGTAGTATAATAATAATAATTTCCAATAGATGTAAGAAACTATGGCGTAAATGTTGAAAATGTTTATTTAACTATACAACAAACTA